GACCAACCGTGCACAAGCTCTCAAGTTTTAAACGTATCAAATGTAGACCGTAATACTTCAGAGTCTATAGAAATAATCTCCAACGGTATAATTAATGACAGTGATGAAAATAGAGAGAATATTCCACCCTCAAGAACAAACTCAACCAAAACACCCCCGCACCGAACAAAGAAAGGCTAACCCAAAAGAAAACATATTCGGCGACGAACCGGGAACTTTTACTTCAAAAGCAAACTGAAGTACAGAGTAATTTGTATGAAGATGTGAAAAACTCACTTAAACGTATAGAAGGCCATTTGAAAGAAACAGAGCGCTACGAAAGAAAGCGATTCAAACTAAAGGAGGAACGCCTGAGACTTTACAAAAAAGAACTGGAGCAAAATGAAACTCAACGCAAAATCAAAAATCAACAAAGGAAAGAAAAGATACTCCTTAAACAGGAAAAACTAAAAATACAAAGAATGAAGTTAAACATTTTGGAAAGAAATAATTCAAAAAGTAGTCTTAAGAGTAATTTTGAATTAACACTTTTATTTTACACTTTATGAATAAACAAAAGACTGAATTGCAAAACATAAATAGGTTTTAATTAATCAGAGTGTTCATCAGTGAATTTCTAATGTTTGCAGCTGTTAAATCCTCAGGTGGCAGTGACGTCGTGTCTATACTTGTTTCTTCACTATCTTCATTTATGGTCTTCTCCTGTGCAACTTCTCCTAAATGTATACAAATATTGTGCAAAGCTGCACATATATTTATAATCGATTTTGCCTTATTATAATCGTACATTAATCGCTGAGAGCTCAAAAGGCAACGGAAACGATTTTTGAGCACACCAATAGTTCTCTCAACAACGTTTCGAGCCCTTGAATGACACTTATTGAATGTACTTTGGTGTGTACCTTCTCCTGCGCTTCTATATGGAGTTATCACGGCTCTAATGGGTAACCAGCATCTCCTTAAATAAAGATGTTGCAGTTTATTAAAACAAATTGGAAGTTTTAAAATACCTAATAACCAAGTATTGTGCTCTCCGTTATTATATTGGGCTTGTAAATATGACCTTATGTCACTTGATCTCCAAATCAGTGAGTCATGACATGATCCAGGATATCTCGGGTCTATGCTCCAAATTCGCATTTTGTGATCACATACCTTTAGTGCAAAAAAAAATTAGGTAGGATAGAAATGTTTAATGCCACTTACCACCATTGTGTTTAAACTATAAAAACCCTTCCTGTTGTAGAAATGTGGGCGTTCTTCAGCACCTGGAGTTCTTATTGCTATGTGCGTTCCATCAACACATCCTATTACGCCAGGGAGACGAAACTTTGTATAAAAATGCTCTTTTATTTGTAATTTTTCGTCGTTGTCTGGCATTTTTATCCACTTGCAGCAAAGTTTCTCCTCCATTAAAGGTATCAACTCTTTAATGATGAGACTGACGGTTGGTTGAGCGAGGCCTAGATTAAACTGGTTTCCAGCTCCATGCTGGTAGCTGCCCTTGGCCAAAACGTTCAAAGTGGCAGCTAATTTTATGGCTGGTTGCACAGCAGTACTACGAATTGCGTCTGGTAATGCATTTTCTTCCAGTACTAACTGAAATGCTTGCTTCGAAAGGCTGAAATTTCGCACAAACCTGAAAAAGTTAAACAACATATAAACACTCGCATATGTACATATGCATTTTCAGAAAAATTACTCCACATCTGGCAAATCATATACATTTAATTGCTGCCTCAAATGTCTTCGCAATTTTATCAGCTGCTGTATTTGATCCTCGTCTTCTGATGAGCTGTAAAATATTTCTATGCTATTCATATTTTGTTAAATACAACAGTATTCATAGTAATTTTTAGTTAATTTTTGCACTTTATCACTTCATAAACAAGCTGTCGTGCTGGAAAAAGTAAACGACGAAATTTGTCGAAAACTATACAGTGCTTTTCCGTTTTAATACACTAGTCGAGTGGAAATTTTCGATACGATTCGACTCTCGAAAAACGACTTGCATTCGACACGACTCTCGCAATGAGGGTGAAAATTTTGTCTATACAAATGTCCCACCCGTGACGGTGGAATCATACATCTTTACATCGACCCCTTTGCGGGAAATTATCGTATGTGCCTAGGGTTCCGAGATTGGATTTTTCACCCTGAGATTCAGGGGCTTCCAATTAATTTTTTTATGCCACAATTTATTTATTTTTTCGGTACTGTGTGGCTCTCTGTACTAAGTTGATTTTTTTCGATTGCACAGAAGTTACCATCTCCATGCCTAGTACATTATGCAAAAAATGTACCATTTCAATAGCTGCATTCTTTTGCAACCGAGCTACAAAATAACACTTGCTTAAATGATGAAATACATGCAAATCAATAAAGGGCTAACTATAATATGAATAAGCAAGCGTATGCAAACGTGCGAATACACATAAATCCTATTCTGAAACTATAATGTGCTTAACATCAAGTTTCGTCAAGTTTCGCCAAACGTCATTTGCTTAAGGAAAGAGCGATACTAATCGCACCTTCCGTACGGAATCAGCTGTTTCTCCTCGTACGTGTGTATGTACATATGTAACACATGCAGTGTTACCGCATTGGTATTTTTTTTATCGAAATTGGTAATTTTTTTCTTTATCTTACTAATCTTACTAGTCTTATCTTACTATCTTACTAATATTATAAATGTGAAAGTTTGTATGTTTGGATGTTTGGGAAATCATCACGCGGAAACGACTGAACGAATTTGTATGAAATTTGGTACGCAGATAGCTTATGGGCCAGATTGGCTAATAGGCTATTTTTTTAAGAGTTGCCACCTGTTAAAAAAATTTAATTTATTTAATATGCGGGAACGACTGAATGGATTTGCATGAAAATTTGCACACAGATAGCTTATGACCTAGATTGGAAAATAGGCTACTTTTCTTAAGAGTTGCCACCTGTTAAAAAAGTTTCATTAAATTAATACGCGGAAACGACTGAATGGATTTGCATGAAATTTTGCAAGCGGATAGCTTATGACCTACAGTGGAAAATAGGCGAATTTTTTGGAAGAGTTGCCACCTGTTAAAAAAATTTAATTAAATTAATACGCGGAAACGACTAAACGGATTTGCATGAAATTTTGCACACAGATAGCTTATGACCTAGGTTAGAAAGTAGGCAAGGTTTTAAGAGTTGCCACCTGTTAGAAATGTTTAATTTAATTAATACGCGGAAATGAGTGAACTGATTTGCATGGAAGTTTTCACACAGATAGCTTATGAGCTAGGTTGAAAAATAGGCTACTTTTTTTAAGAGTTACCACCTGCTAAAAAAGTTTAATTAAATTAATACGCGGAAAAGTCTGAACGGATTTGCATGAAATTTTGCAAGCAGATAACTTATGACCTACAGTGGAAAATAGGTTAATTTTTTGGAAGACTTGCCACCTGTTAAAAAAGTTTTAATTAAATTAATACGCGGAAACGACTGAACAGATTTGCATGACATTTCGCACAGAGATAGCTTATGACCTATGTTGGAAAATAGGTTACTATTTTAAGAGTTATCACGTATTAGGAAAGTTTAATTAAATTAATACGCGTAAATGACTGAACTGATTTGCATGAAAGTTTGCACACAGATAGCTTATGACCTAGACTGGAAAATAGGCTACTTTTTTAAGAATTGCCACCTGTTTGAAAATGAAATTTTGTTCAAAGATGGTTTATGACCTGGACTGAAAAATAGGCTACTTCCTTAACCGGGTTTCCGATCAGAACGAAATTTAGTACACTTACTACGGATTTCGGAAGGATGGTCTTAGACTGAAAGTAAGTCCGATAACTCAAGGCGCCTCCTATACAAATTGGAATTTTCATATTACATACATATCTCTGGAAGTATTTGTGGGAGAGAACTGAAACTTGGTATAATGATATGTGTGTGAAATAAATGTTGGCATTAATCGATTGATGTTTTAATTAGTTAGTTAATTCGATTAAATTCAATCTGATTACAGTTAATCATGATTAATTTTAATCCGACTAAACAGTTACAGCGATTAAAAGATTAATTTTTAATCATTAACTCTTAATTTGATCAAGTAGGTTTGGTGATTAATTAAGTTATGCTGGAATTTCCCTGTGCACACAAAGCAAGTTAATCCGGTATGGCTAAGTCGGGCTTCCTCATCAATCTAAGCAATTTGGTGTGCATTTTCATTAAGATATATACCAACAAACGTTTTACAAACTAGGTTTGTAAAAGTTCCCAGTTTATGTATTACTAATAACAATAATTATAATTTTTTTATATTATGTGCTTTTTATAAGCGTAAAACACAAAATAATTACTATAACTGGTGTTTGGTTTCAAACTCGGACAAACTAGACAAATTAATCAGATTTTATTTTTAATTGGATTAATGATTAAAAAAATGTTATCATTAATCGTACAGTTGATTACGACTAATTAATTTTAATCGTCAAACGCGATTAACATTTTACTCCTTAATTTTTAATCGTTAATCAGATTAACAGTTTGCCAACACTGTGTGAAATCATGTTCATATTGACGGAGAAAAATTGACGTTTTTGGAAAAGAGGCGTAGCACCTCCCATACTGACTGAAAGTTTCATATTGCATATCTCTTCAAATGTTTGGGGTAAAGCACTCAAGCTTGGTATGGAAATACATATGTATGTATGTATGTGAAACTAATACCATACTCATGGAGAAAAATGAGAGTTATTGGAAAAGGTGGTGTGGCAACTCCCATGCAAATTGATTTTTCTATGCTGCATATCTCTGGAGGTGTTTATTGCAGAGGACTGGAACTTGGCACCGAGATGTGTATACAAAATTAATTCCATACTCATGGAGAAAAATTTGCGTTATTCGAAAAGGGGACATGGTTCCTCCCGTACAAATTTACTGATTTATACTGCTTATCTCTAAAGGTGTTCAAGGTAGAGTACTGGGACTTGGTACATATATATATAGTTTATTTGGTTATCGATTATTTTTCTCTTCTTCTTCCTTTTTTAAGTCACAATAGACATTGAAGTGTCAAAATAAGTGAAAAGTAAATAAAGAAAAGCGGCAAAACTAAAATGGATCCGAGCCTTTTATTTTATTTAAGCTCTAGCGAAAGCGAAAATGACGAGAGTTGTGCGTAAGCAACTTCGGGGCAGAAGCAATCCATTGGCATTATCCGACAACGCGTAAGTAATTATACATAGGAAATAAATTACCTTCTCTACTCCTATACTTGCAGATTCATCAAAAGATTTCGGTTAAGCAAGGAGGCATTCCAGTATGTTTTATCGAAAACAAACATAAACTGCGATGACACAAAAGCCGTTCCTGCTGCTTGCAATTGGCTGCAAGCCTCTCGCTCCTTGCAAGTGGTAGCTATCAGCAAACAGTTGGTAGCGATTACCTGAGGTATGTGCCAGAGCACGGTATCAAAATTGACGTCCAACGTCTTAAAAGAAATAGAAAGCAAATTGTGTCCGGAATTTATAAAGTTCCAGCCCAACGAATCTTCCAGATGTAAGAAGCGGTTTGCGGAAAAATATAAAATACCTGGAGGTAGGAAGAGGCGTTCTAATGAAATGCGTAGTGAATCCAATGTTTTTCCTTTTAGTGGTTGGATGCGTAGACGGAACACACATTGGATTACAAAAGCCAATTAGAGACGAGCACATGTACTTCAACAGGAAAGGTTACCATAGTCTTAACGTTATGCTAGTAAGTTTCTCTTCTTTCATTTTAACATTTTATTGCTAATATTCCGTTTGCCAGATTTGTGACCACACTTGCAAGATTCTTGCCATAAATTGTCAATATAGAGGTGCAGCCCATGACTCCTGAAAAGGTCCACCACATGTAATTGTTTGGTGAGGTTTTCCCACAAACGGTTGGCCGTTGCTTTTCCCTGAGAGCAGTTTGGGAGTAAATTCTTTGCCAAGTCAGGGTGTTCGGCCATGAACTCCGCCATGAGTTCCTTCTGCGTGGAGTTTAATTTATTGTAGTTGGTCCTAAAATAAGAAAAATAGCTATGAACTTGTATATGTTTGCACAAATTTTATAATTACTTACATTTTTCAAAAAATGTTATCAAATTTTGCGTGCGTGCGTTCGTCAAATATTAATCGAATGACAGTTCGAACGAACGAGTACGTTCACTCGCTCGTTCACGCCTGTCATAATACCGAATTACGATATGAGAAGTTCGTTCACGTCTGTCACAATCCGATTTTGTCATTTTTACGTGACGAGTTGCTCGTTCACGACTGTTACGATTCGAGCCCAGTTCTTCGGCGTTTCTAGGTTACTATAATTCTGTGATCTACAACAAACTGCTTGACAGTGGCTATTGTTATATCTGATTAAATGTGGCAACACTGAACTCATGTAAGTAAAATATACACCCCTATTGCGAATGTCGACTGGCAGTAGATAAACGACTATTAAGCGATTATCGATGCTATTGCGAGTGTCGCTTAGTCGCTCAATTAGCGACTGTGAATACTTTTTAATCGCTCATCCTTCTATTGCTGTTTTTTAGTCGTTGGAGTTTGCGTTTATAAAATTTACATAAGAAAGTGGTACTATAATGGATAAAAAGTAAGTCAATTGAACTGGAAGTTGTAAAAAATTGTGAAATATACATATGTATGTATGTGTCTGAAATACAGATCAAAAATTATAATCAACAAAAGGCAACTTGCGCGGTTGGTCAAGCTGATAAGGGAGAATGAGGACATAATCAAAGGAATTTCCGGAAAGAGGAGGGGAGGAAGCTCTGCTTCTATTGGGAAAGATACATATACAATATTTCTTGTGCATATAACTCCGGCTACGCCATCCACAGTCTTTTTGCGCAGAACCAACATCAAAAGTTTACAAAAAACTGAATAATTTATTAATTGACTAGTCCTCGGAAAATGAAATCTTTATTTTAAATTAAAGTTGAATTCTTTCACTACACTTGTATGTTAAAGTTTTTAAACTCGGATCACGCGTTTGGACATAAATACCCAACATCATTGTACAAATATCTAAACCGTACCGTACTTCTTAAAACTCCATCAAGTTTATTAATGAGGAAAACAGCTTTTCCTGCTAAGAACCGTGAAGTATCGGGAACGCAACTTCTATTCATAAAACTCACATATGTACATACACTTCAGCTTCCAATTCCAAGGGATCCGACGAATCTCGCCATTCCCTCCTTGCTTTAGCCAACTCTGCTAATCTATTAGCTTCCACATCATCTTCCTCATCACTAAACCATATTTCAACTGTGTCCATTTTTTAAATTTTATAATAAAAGCCATTATTTTAAAAATGATGTAAATAAAACACTAGAGAAACAAATGTAAACAAACAAACCGCTGTTTAGAATTCTGTCAACCGTTCACAATAGTACAAATTTTTATCGATCAAGTTACACAATAGCAAAATAAAAGATGATCGACTCGATCGACAAATTTCTATTCTACTGCCAGTCGACACTCGCAATAGGGGCCATAGTCACCTAAAAGTCTACACTACGTTGCTTATGCATTTGACAGACTTTTCGTTGATTTTCTGACAGTCAGTTACGGCAGCTTATTCATATTATAGTTAGCCCTTAACACAAACTCGCCTATTTATCCGGGTTCAGGCAGATCGGTTAAAAAATACGCAACCTGAAGGGTAGTATTGTTAAGTGAAAAAACTGCTCTATTGTGAATTGTCAATGTGAAAATGGAGAGGAAATTTTTTGTTTCCCTATATATATGATTTATATTTTAAAATTTTATAGTGTACAGGGTTTGGAAATATTCACTCACCTTCGTACGCGAACGCGAAGGTGAACGTATCAAATATTCTGTATTGGTTCTCCTTCGCGAACGAGAAGCATAAAGTCCAGATAGTTCGCGTTCGCGAATGTTAGGTAGAAAAAATTTCCGCTGTTCATACGCGTATGTATTGGTGGACCAAACAGCATGCGTTCATATACAGTGACGAGCAAAACTGTAACATGGTTTAACACTTTTTGTTTCAGTCACCGCTATATTTCCAAGTTCTAACGACTCCTCCTTTTGTTGTATATTCTTGTTGGTACATCCCTACTCCCTCTCTCATAATGATTTGAAGTCCATACAACAACAATAAAAAAACCCAGCAGACAAAAATGTAAATTAAGGCAGATGTTACAGTTTTGCACTCACTCTCAGTTTTGCATTTGACAGTTATCTTTTACTTAGTTGGAAGCAAGGTGTATTAAACAAGGTGTGATTGACAACTCAGTGCGGCTCTCTTTTAAGGTACTATAATGTCAAAAGGTATAAACAAACGAATTAACCCTTAGTGATGCATGTATCTTGTCAGCACTGATACCCAAGCCTTTGATTTTGATTATAGTTTTGTTTTACTTACATTACCTGGAATATATATATTTTGTCAATAAAATAAAACAAATTGTTTATAAAACCGTTTTAGCAATTTTCTTCCTTTTAATTGTCCAACTTTTATGCTTTTGTGCGTTTATTTTTATATTTAAATTTTTTATCCTAAACATTATTCGACACTTATAAAAGTATGATTTTACATTTTTTCCAATTTGATATGAGAGCTTAACTCTAACAATTTTGAAATTAAATTTTTTTTTATGCGAAATAGTTTGGGTATAAACGAGCTTGTTTGAAAGTGCTTGACTCGGACGAACAGCAAATGAAATCACTTTCCTTGAAGTGGTTTTCACAAACGCGAGATGAATCACGTAGTACAACACAACATCGCTGCCGTCTTAACTCGCAACTAGGTGGTTTAAAACATCGCACTATTTTCGTGTTTCACGTTTGTTAAGAAAATGTGTTGCTTGAAAAAATTTTGTGTACATTTTCTTTAAACAAATTCAAATTCGAAAAAAAAAAATATTTTCAAATGGGTTAACAATTCATTTCAATTTGACATTGTAGCCTGTTTCTTATGAGAGCAATGTCAAAATCAATCACACTTTGTTGAATACATTTTGGTTGGAAGTCAGATGACTTTTTTCTATATTGTAATTTATTGAAGAAGTGATCACCAGTAAATAACATAGTTAATCAGGAACCATAAATGTAAATAATAGATTTACTGCGGAAAGGCGGAACCGCACGAAAAGTGGCAAAAAATTTTGGAATTTGCTACTTGAAGATGTTAAGACTTAGAAAAAATATAGCCTAAAGTGTTCCCAAGGACAAAGGAAGTCTGTTAAAAAATATTACGGTACGATATCTTGTGAACTTAGTAGCAAGTAGCGATGCCGCCACTATTACAGAAGCGTTTAAGGTATTAAACTTTATTGCAAATCAATAGACAGCGAGGCGAAGAATTGCCAAATTGAGGGCAAAGGCATCATAAAAGAAGAAAAAGGCAAATTTGATCAAAATACATGTGCGAGTGTGGCAGGATTTTGCTGCATCGCACGAAAACCGGACCGTTGCCTATTGGAATATGTTAGGCCTTTAAGAATGCAATAAAAAACATTTTTAAGTTTCAATCGAAGATTATTTGGTCTGACAAGACTAAATTAATCGCTTTCAATCAGATGGCCGGGTATGGTATTGGATCAAAGACCCAAGTTAAGCCCATGCGCATCCTGTAAGGCAAACTGTGAATCACAGTGGTAGGTCAATAATAGTTTGGGGTTGTTTTTAAAAAATGTTGTGTGTCCGTTAGCACGCATTAGGCGTAAGGAACAATATCTGTTCATATTTCAACAAAATTTGCAAGATGTAGTCGAAAAAATGAGAGTTTCTGCTGAAAAATCATTCAAAACACACTGCACATGTTCCCAAAGCCAGGATACAAAAGCAAAAATTTGCTAATTTGAAATGACCTCCACAATCCGCGGACATGAATCTCATCGAGAATTTGCGAAATCAACTAAAAGCTCAGCTTAATAAGTATCAAAGTCCGTAAAATCGAGTACATGAGCTGTGAAAGCAAACTAAGGATATACCTCCAGAATTTATACAAAGATACAAATAGGTATGCCAAATCAAGCAAAAGAGTACTGAACATTGTGTTAGTAGTTCTTTTTTTTTTGTGAAAATTGTTAAAAAGTTCGTAAAAATATATGAGTGCAAAACTGTAACATCTGCCTTAATTTACATTTTTGTCTGCTGGTTTTTTTATTGTTGTTGTATTGACTTCAAAGCATTATGAGAGAGGGAGTAGGGATGTACCAACAAGAATATGCAGCAAAAGTATGAAAGTCGTTAGAACGTGGAAATATAGCGGTGGCTGAAACAAAAAGTGTTAAACCATGTTACAGTTTTGCTCGTCACTGTATGTAGCTATAAGCGGCAGCGATGCCTTCGCGAAGGTTCACTGCTGTCGTTCTCCTTCATAAGTGAATGTAAATGCTGCGGCAAATATTCGCGGAAAGTTGGTGTAGCTAGAGATACTATTCTGTGCGAAGGTAATTTTGTTAATTGCATAAGATTTGCACCGTTCTCCCCATTTTCAAAACTGAGGTGTCAAATGAAAGGGCTTGGCCTCTAGATGTGCAGTAAGGATATATTTTTTTTAATAGGGTTGCCACCTGTGCTTAAAAATATGATATTTACACCATTCTCCCCATTTTCAAAAATGAGGTGTCAAATGAGAGGGCTTGACCTCTGGACGTGCAGTAAGGATATATTTTTTTAATAGGGTTGGCACCTGCGTTTAAATATATGATATTTACACCGTTCTCCCGATTTTCAAAACTGAGGTGTCAAATGAAAGGGCTTGACCTCTGGATGTGCAGCAAGGATATATTTTTTGAATAGGGTTGCCACCTGCGTTTAAAAATATGATATTTACACCGTTCTCCTGATTTTCAAAACTGAGGTGTCAAATGAAAGGGCTTGGCCTCTAGATGTGCAGCAAAGATATATTTTTTTTAATAGGGTTGCCACCTGCGTTCAAAAATATGATATTAACACCATTCTCCCGATTTTCAAAAATGAGGTGTCAAATGAAAGGGCTAGGCCTCTAGATGTGCAGTAAGGATATATTTTTTTAATAGGGTTGCCACCTCTGCTTAAAAATATATTTACTCCATTCTCCCCATTTTCAAAAATGAGGTGTCAAATGAAAGGGCTTGACCTCTGGACGTGCAGTAAGCATATATTTTTTTAATAGGGTTGCCACTTGCGTTTAAATATATGATATTTACACCGTTCTCCCAATTTTCAAAACTGAGGTGTCAAATGAAAGGGCTTGGCCTCTGGATGTGCAGCAAGGATATATTTTTTGAATAGGGTTGCTACCTGCGTTTAAAAATATGATATTTACACCATTATCCCCATTTTCAAAAATGAGGTGTCAAATGAAAGGGCTTGGCCTCTAGATGTGCAGTAAATATATATTTTTTTAATAGGGTTGCCACCTGCATTTAAAAATATGATATTTACACCATTCTCC